CCCCAAAACCCCAAAACCCCAAAACCCCAAAACCCCAATTGGTCGAATTAATCAGGATATTGTTTACTTAATATATAGTATAATTATAATATTAAATTCAAATCTCTGAAAATATGAGTGGACAAAACGACGTTGATCAATGGCTTAAGACCGTAAAGGATGGTGGAGTTTTACCTGAAAGAGACCTCAGAATCCTCTGTGAAAAAGTCAAGGAAATCTTGATCGAGGAAAGCAACGTCCAACCAGTCAGTGCTCCAGTCACAATTTGTGGTGACATTCATGGACAGTTCCATGATTTATTGGAACTTTTCAACAAGGGAGGTGAGATCCCTAATACCCGCTATATCTTCATGGGAGATTTCGTTGATAGAGGCTACAACTCCGTCGAAACCTTCCAACTTCTTTTATGCTTGAAACTCAAATACCCAGCTCACATCACCCTCTTGAGAGGAAACCATGAAACCAGACAAATTACAACTGTCTATGGATTCTATGATGAGACCATTAGAAAATACGGTAATGCCAATCCTTGGAAATATTGCACCGAAGTATTCGATTACCTTGGTATTGGTGCCATTGTTGAAGGCAAAATTTTCTGTATCCATGGTGGACTTTCTCCAGATATCAAGACAATTGATCAAATCAGATTAATCGAAAGAAGAATGGAAATCCCACACGAAGGACCATTCTGCGATCTTATGTGGTCAGACCCAGAAGAGATCGAGACCTGGGCTATGTCTCCAAGAGGTGCTGGTTGGTTATTCGGATCAAAAGTTACCTCAGAATTCAACCATATTAATGATATTGAGCTTATCGCCAGAGCTCATCAGCTTGTTATGGATGGCTTCAAGTATTGGTTCAAGGATTAGACTTTAGTCACCGTCTGGTCCGCACCCAACTATTGCTACAGATGCGGTAACGTAGCATCAATCCTTAACATTAACGAAAAACTTGAGAGATCATTCGACATTTTCCATGCTGTAACTGAAAGCTCAAGAGTTGTGCCATACAGAAACGTTGTTCCCTATTTCCTCTGAAGAGGAGTTTACCCAATAAAGAGCAATCAATGATTAGCTCACTCACTAACTAATATATTATCTTCATCAGATTTTTCTCACTAATAAGAGATTTAAACACAATTCATTACTTCACTCGCCCTATTTCACAGAATTTAGGAATAAGGGGTTTTGGGGTTTTGGGGATCGGAAGAGCGCGTGTAG